AGTCTGCTTAAGGATGTTCTCTCTCCCTTCACTCCTCCTCCCACTCAGGCTCTCTCTCTCATATAAATAAATAGGAAGGAAGGAAGGAAGGAACCAACCCAAAAATCTATGAGCAACTGACTTCAACAAGGGTGCCAAGACCATCCAGTAGGAAAGAATAGCCTTTCAACAAATGATGCTGGGACAACTGGACAGAATGCTGGGATAACAAATGATGCAAGGACAATATGCAAATCAAAACCACAATGAGATATTACTGCATACCCACTAGATGCCTGAAAGCAAAAAGTCAAATACTAACAAGAGTTGGCAAGTAGGTGGAGAAATCAGAACCCTCATACACTGCTGGTGAGAATGTAAACTGGTACAGGCACTTTGGAAAACAATCTGGCCGTTCCTCAAATGATTAAACATAGAGTTACTATACAGCAGCAATTCCACTCCTAGGTATATACACAAGAGAAATGGAAACATATGTCCACACAAAAATGTGTACATGAATGTTTGTAGCAGTATTATTTATAACACCCAACAGGTGAAAGCAACCCAACTGTCCATCAGCAGATGAATGAATAAACAAAAAGTGATATATCCATACAACAGCATATTATCCAGGCATAAAAAGGAATGAAGTCTAATACATGCTTTAACTTGGATGAACTGTGAAAACATGCTAAGTGAAAGACGTCACAAAAGACCATATGTTATATAATTCTATTCATATGAAATGTTTAAAACAGGGCAATCTATAGACAGAAATTAATGTCTGCCTCAGACTGGGGTCGGAGGGTGACGGCTAAGGGTACAAGGCTGCTTTCTGAGATGGTGAAAGTAATCTAAAACCAACTGTGGTGACGGTTGCACCTATCCATGAATATATTAAAACCCACTAAATTATAAACTCTAAATGGGTGAATTGTGGGGTTTATAAACTATAACTCAATAAAACTGTTTAAGAAAAAAGAAATAAGTCCTTAAAGATTACAGGGACATGTCAAAATGACAATGAAGCCATCTAAAGCCATCTAAAGGACAAAGAAGCCATCTTCCATTAGTCAAATCTGGGACAATTCTGAACTTCAAAAAGAGTAATGGCAATAGATAATGACTTTTTTAAAAATTCCACTAGTCTACAAGGGTCAAGGGTAGGAAAAAAGGGAGGGAGAAAGAGAAATTAATTCTTTGCAGCAGAATGCCAGCTAATAAATGCAGAAGAAATGGTAGATATGAAATTTGCTACTCCCAACATAATAACTGATTCAGGCACAGATCATTAATAGTTGCGATAACCACTGGGTAAAAAGATGCTGGGGAACTCACATAATCCCAAAGTATCATTTCATCACTACTCACTAATTACAAAGAGGGGAATGTACTTTTATAATGAAGAAAATTACCAATTACTACCTTAACCAATTGTGGAATATCCTGACATTATGTGCCTTTGATGTGATGAGGTAAGTATAATCAGCTGTGTAGTATTCTTGAAAAAAAAAAAGAAAAAAGTTTAATCTGAATCTAAGTTTGAAGAAAACAATCAGACAAATCCAGAATGTGGCACATTCTACAATAAAACTGGCTTGGTCTCTTCAAAAAAGCCAATGTCTGTAATGTATGGTGATTAACATAACAATAAAAAATTACTTAAAAAAAAAGCCAATGTCATAAAAACAAAAAACAAAACAAAAAAAGAAAAAACAGGTGGGGACAAACATCAACCTTGACTGGATCCTACTTTTTAAATTTTTTGATCCTGTTTTAAAGACAGCTGAAGGACAACTGGAGAAATCTGAATATGTACTGCATATAAATAATATGTTGAATTAATGTTAATTTTTATATATGTAAAAATAGCATGTGATTATGTGAAGAATGTTTTTATTCTTAGGAGAGTAAGAGTTGAAGTATTCAGAAGTGAAGTATCACAATATCTGTAATTTACTTTCAAATGGTTCAGCAATAAAACTTACACACAAAAAGATAAAGTAACTGGGACAAAACACTAACAACTAGCAAATCTGAAAAAATTCCAGATTCAACTGAATATTCAGTGATATCAAGACAGGAACTATAATAATGTTTTTAGGTGTGATAGTTATCACGGTTATGTTAGAATGAAAAGTGCCCTCACCAAAATAAACAAGTAGGACTACCATCAAACTAAAAAGCTTCTGCACAGCAAAAGAAACCATCAACAGGGGTGCCTAGGTGGCTCAGTCGTTTAGCATCTGCCTTAGACTCAGGTCATGATCCCAGGGTCCTGGGATCGAGCCCCGCATCGGGCTCCCTGCTCCTTGGGAGCCTGCTTCTCCCTCTCCCACTCCCCTTGCTTGTGTTCCTGCTCTCACTATCTCTCTGTCAAATAAATAAATAAAATCTTTAAAATAAAAAAAAAAAGAAACCATCAACAAAGTGAAAACATGACTTACAGAATGGGGAAAAATATTTACAAGCCACATATCTGATAAGGAGTTAATATTCAAAATGTACAAAAAACTCATACAACTCAATAGCATAAAAACCAAATAACCCAATTAAAAATGGATGAAGGACCTAAATCAACATTTTTTCCGAAGACGATACACAAATGGCCTACAGATAATGAAAAGACGCTCGACATCAATAACCATCAGGGAAATGCAAATTCAAACCACAATGAGATACCATCTGGTATCTCATGGCTACTATTAAAAAGACAAGAGATAACAAGTGTTGGGATGCTGGGTGGCTCAGTTAAGCGTCTGCCTTCAGCTCAGGTCATGATCCCAGGGTCCTGGGATGGAGCCCCCCTCACATCGGGCTCCCTGCTCAGTGGGAAGTCTGCTTCGCCTTCTGCCCCTCCTCTACTTGTGTGCGTGCGCACTTACATGCTCTCTCTCTGACAAATGAATAAATAAAATCTTTTTAAAAAAAAAGGTTAACAGGGTGCCTGGGTGGCTCAGTTGGTTAAGCGACTGCCTTCGGCTCAGGTCATGATCCTGGAGTCCCGGGATCGAGTCCCACATCGGGCTTCCTGCTCAGCAGGGAGTCTGCTTCTCCCTCTGACCCTCTGACCCTCTGACCCTCTTCCCTCTCGTGCTTTCTCTCTCTCATTCTCTCTCTCTCTCAAAAATAAATAAATAAAATCTTTAAAAAAAAAAAGGTTAACAAGTGTTGGCAAGGATGTGGAGAAAAGGGAACCCTTGTGCTCTATTGGCAGAACTGTAAATTGATGCAGCCACTCTGGAAAACAGTATGGAGGATCTTCAAAAAATTAAAAATAGAACTACCATATGATCCAGCAATTCCACTTCTGGGAATATATCCAAAGGAAATGAAAACACTAACTCAAAAGGATATCTGCACCCCCACGTTCACTCACAATAGCTAAGACACAGAAACAACCTAAGTGTCCACAAATGAATGAATGGATAAAGAAGTTGTGTATACAGACAGTGGAATATTATTTGTCCATATTAAAAAACAAAAACAAAAACAAAAAAACAAGGAAATCCTACCATTTGCAACAACATGGATGGACCCTGAAGACATTATGCTAAGTGACATAAGCCAGAGAAAGACAAACACTGTATGATCTCATTTATATGTGAATCTAAAAAATAAAAGTACAAACTTTCAATTACGATAAATACTAGGAACGTAATATATATGATGACTATAGTTAACAATAAATACTGTATATAGATAGGAAAGTTGTTCAGAGGTGGATCTAACAGCTCATCACAAAGAGAAATTTCTTTTCTTTGTATTATTATCTATATAAAATGATGGCTGTTAACTAAACCTATTGGGGTAATCATTTTACAATGTATGTTAATCAAATCATCATGCTCTATGCCTTAAACTTACTGATATGTCAATTACTTCTCAATAAAACTGGAAAAAAGACTTCACTGCAAAAAATAAAATGTGCCTTACCTTTTAAAGCTACCTACTTAAGTATTTACTGATGAAATGTTTAGAATTTGCTCCAAAATAACTAATGGTGTGGAAAGGAGTAATGGAGCTCTAAGTGAAATAAGATTGGCCATGTGGAAGCTGGGGTAATGATATGTAAGAGCTCATTATATTATTCTCTCTACCCTTTGCTTATATTTGAAACTTCCTTTAAAAAAGTTCTAGGTTCTGGGGTGCCTTAGTAACTTAGTTGGTTAAGTTGATTCGTGGTATGAGCTCAGGTCTTGATCTCAGGGTTATGCATTCAAGACCCATGTTGAGCTCCACACTGGGCATGGAGCATACTTAAAAAAAACTTCTAGGTTCTAATTTTGGTTTAGCACTAATATCCTCAGCATTATTTAAACTCTGTCCAGCAGTCAAAGAAAATAAAGATTCATATGTAACTGAATCAGTGAGATAAATGATCAGTGAGGTAAATCTAACTCTTCAAACCATAAACTGGACTTAGGGGCTGTAGAATTTTGAGGAGACGGCCTACAGGGTTTTTATGAGACAGCATGACACATGGTTTATTTTAAAAATAGAGAAATCACAGGGAGCACAAATTCAATTTAAAAACTGAGAACACAGGGCACTTGGGTGGCTTAGTCGGTTAAGTGTCCTACTCCGGATTTCGGCTCAGGTTGTGATCTCAGGGTCGTGGGATCAAGCCCCATGTTGGGCTCCATGCTCAGGAGGGAGTCTGCTTGAGATTCTCCCTTTCCCTCTCCCTCTGCCCCTCCCCATGCTCGTGCATGAGCACACACTCTCTCTCTCTCTAAAGTAAATAAATAAATCTTTTAAAAAAAAATTGAGAAAACGTATTTCCTAGAAAAGGGGAGGGAAATTAATTATAAAATATAACTTGAAGGAAAAACAACGTAACAGATCATTTTGTTCAATTTTTTAAAATTTTATTTCCTGTGACTTTATGGCAAGTTTATCTTGATTTTACGTCTTGAATGAGAATTAAAAAGAAAAATCCTATTTTCACTAGTACCAAACATCCAAAAGGTATATGGGGCTGAGGGACAGATCAAGATCAAATAAGGGAACCCTACCTCCATCATCACCAACTTATCAGGATACGCCAGATCTCCAGGAGCAGGTTTGTACCCCGTGATGTCTGTCTGAATGTAGATGTGGGTTCTGTAGACGAGGCGCTCTTGTACATCTTCTAACATCTGCTTTACTCCAGCTGCAAATGCTCCCAGTTGTTCAGCTGATAAAAAAGTGTAATCATCCATTCCTTTATATTTAGAAAAATACTTTCTTTAAAAAAACAAAATATTACTCAAGTGTCCAGGAGTAGTAGGAAGCATTTTTGCCTCGGGGACTGTGGTTGCATTCTATTTCAGTATGACTCAATGACCTCAGAAAAATTTAATAAATGTCTTTCAATTTCCTCAAATTTAAAACTGGGAAATAAATTTGCCTTTATACCTTCTTTCTGAGACTCTGTGATATTATTTCTATTATTAATATAAATACTAAAATCTGAATTTTAAAGTGTTTTGTGCTTTTTAAAAGTTATCTCATTCAGCTTCAAACCAATCCTGAGAGACAGCTAGGGCAGCTTATTAGTTGGATCATCATTCCAATTTTACAAATAAATTGAGTCCCACAGATATTAAATGACTTGTTATTTAACAAAAATAACTTGTTATTTAACAACAAAATTTAACAACAAAAATAACTTGTTATTTAACAACAATAACTTGTTATTTAACAAAAGTGGAAACTTTTGTTTCCACACACACACACAAAAAAAAACAAAATGAGTAAAAAACTAAAATGAAATATGAGTTTATATAGAATTTCTGCATTCCTAAGATGCTTTCAGTGTTAAGACAAACCATCAATTCCGTAACAGCTTTCCAAGGGCTGGGGAGTTGGAGACACTACATAATAACATAAATATTCAAATTAATTTAATTAAGAAGCATTAATGCGTAAGAAAATACACATCTTAGAATGAACTAAATGCAGCAGAAGAAACTTTGGAAGCATAACAAACCTATAGTGTCTCCTAAGGAAAGTAAAAGTGAAAACAGTAATTTCTGTCAATAAAATAATTACTTGAAGGGTTTTTTTTTAAAGTTATTTAAGTCATGTTTTCTATGACAATCAAATCAAATATTAAAGAATGTATCAGATGGTTAGAGTTTTCCAGAGAATTGCTTTTATTTGTAATTTCAAAAAAGATAAGTCATTATTATGTATGTACACTAAAATAATTTGTTTTTAAATCAAGAGCATGCAATATAGTCAATGATTCTAGGTATTTTGGTTAAGAATGTATTAAGAAATGTCTAATCCAAAACTGACAGTTCTCTCTGGATTTCAGATCCAAAAAGAAAAATTAACTATAATTATTTTATTAATAATTTTGCCCAGATTTTAAAATTCTTCCCCATTTAATTTGTAGCTTTAGTCAAAAAATAAGGTGCATCTTGATTTTAAAAGGGACAAGGCATCAACCCAAGCTATAAAAATAATGAATTTATATAGGTGAGTGGGGTAGAGGATAGGGGGTTTTCAAATTCATTGAGCCACAAATATAATTAAAAAGACTTTTGAAATTATCATTTCTAACTATCATTTACCATTGTTCTGTACATGATCTTCAAGCACCTCATTTTTAAGAATCCCACAAAGTTCCGATAGAGTCTCTAAGTGAATAACATGAATGATCAAAGGCCTGAAGACGTCATACAATGACACACACAGTTTCTCCAAAAGTTCACTAAAATGAAAGAATAAAACACGGCCATAAGTAGTAATCTTTTTGGGATTTTCTCATAGTTTAAAAGGTATCATTGATTTCTTCTAGCCAATAAAAATAAAAATCTACTGGAAAATAGTGCATGGGAACATTATATGATGAGAAGTCAAAGAGTGAAAATAATACTGTAGATTTTTCTTTGTTTTAAAAAGCTCAAAATCCGGGGCGCCTGGGTGGCTCAGTTGGTTAAGCGACTGCCTTCGGCTCAGGTCATGATCCTGGAGTTCCGGGATCGAGTCCCACATCGGGCTCCCTGCTCAGCGAGGAGCCTGCTTCTCCCTCTAATCCTCCCCCCTCTCATGTACTCTCTCTCTCATTCTTGCTCTCTCAAATAAATAAATAAATCTTTAAAAAATAAATAAATAAAAAGCTCAAAATCCATAAGCAGTCTTTAGCAGCCACTCCAAAGTAGCTGTCCCCAGCCAAATGTCAATTCATTACAACTTTATTTCAGCAATTCTTTATATAGGTCCACAATAACAAATATTTTTATTTAATTATCCTTTTATATTCTACATTTGTGAATCAAATGTAACATTTTCCCTAGGAAAGATGAATTGAAAATTCTTGAATACTTGGATTTAGATTAGCAAAATTCAAAGTACTTGGACATAAAAGTATTTTTGACAATTTTAAACATTTGAAAGGAAAAACTTAAGTTATCTATATTCTTCAAACTGTTAATAGTACTCTTCTATACATAGCATTTCATCAGAAGTATCAAAACTATAAGATACATTTGTCTCTTCCTCATTACAAAAGTCATATCTTAGAATCTTGGTAAGAGTCAAAATCATCATTATGAAGAAACCAAAAGTGACTAACACAGGAGCTGAAAGACACTTTGAGAAAAATAAGGAAAAGGTATTAAATAGTGTCTGTATTTTTAAGTGTCTTTCATTGGTTAGAACCACAGAATTCTTTAACTAGAAGGAATTATTATACTTAGTGGAGATAAAGGGATATAGACTGCCAAGACTTAGTTCCCAATATAGGCTTCTTACTATCATACCATATTGTCTCCATAGATATATTATAAATAATGTAAAAGCATGTTGGCCTTTAAATTGCACATTCAGGGGCGCCTGGGTGGCTCAGTCGTTAAGCATCTGCCTTCGGCTCAGGTCATGATCCCAGGGTCCTGGGATCGAGCCCCACATCGGGCTCCCTGCTCGGCGGGAAGCCTGCTTCTCCCTCTCCCACTCCCCCTGCTCGTGTTCCCTCTCTCGCTGTCTCTCATAAATAAAATCTTTAAAAAAAAAAAAAAAATTGCACATTTATTTTAAAATAACCACTGTTCCATCCAATAATATTATGTTCACACACTCACAAAAGTTAAAACACTCTGCAGTTGACTTTAAAATACTCCTATAATATAGTAAGTCATGATGGTCATTAGGAAATTAAATCTTAAAAACAAGAGTTAGAGTTTGTGTACCACCCACTCTAATTTTGATGTTGGTTTTGTGAAAAATTCATTGTAAAGTTGGTGCTCATCCTGGCATACATGGACCATAAAGGCACAGCCACTGCGAATCTGCAGGAAATAAACACACATTACCTACAGTCAAAGACACACAATGATCCCAGCATTTATGAGTAAAACAAACAATTTAATTGCACTGAGCTTATGCACATATATTCATAAAATAACTCATTCAAGAACAGAAGGCAGCTGGTTTTTCAATGGTTTACTGCATAATGTGAATATGGCTCGTTTTTATTTTCTTTTATTTTCTAAACTTTTGACAATGAAAATAAATTACTCTTTTAGTTGAAGAGGAGGTATTTAATAAAAGAATGTTTATGTATTTTTCTATAATATGAATTAAAATTGCTAAACAAAAGGCACTTCTACAGCAAAAACTAAACTAAATCATCAGTATAAATCCACAAACTCTGAAACTTCATCTTTCAAGGAGTAATACTTGTTTGTGAGTCTTCATTCTTCAAAAAACAGATCAAAATGAGAATACTTTAACAAGCTGAATGCTAATTATAAACTAGATTTCTCATAACTGAAAGAAAAATTCTTTAAGCTTGTTGATATGAGATCCAAAACTTATTTACCTAAATACAGCTTCTAGAACATCAAAATATTTCAGAGGAAGGTTTAACATCAATCAAAACTAGCAGAAGCTTACCAAGGCACAATGATCTCTATTATTCTGGCTTGTTAACTCTGTTACAGTACAAGTGATGCTAGGGCCCAAAAGGAGCTCCCGCTGGTCAAGGTAACACTGATGGATGTCATTTAGCAGTTGCTGGTATCTGATGAAAAGCAAATGAGATTGGAGTATAAATTTCTGATTTCAGATATGTAAGTTAAATCTGATCTTAAATCCCAGAAGAGGTTTCAAAACCTCTAAAGCAATAAGGTCACCTCTTATTTGCCCACATTAAATACTAGAAATATTTATGTATGAAAAGAGATAAAATAAACCATAATGAACTGTGGTTCAAAAACTATAATTTTTATTCTTTTAAAAAAAGATTTATCTCCCAAGAGTAGAGAAAGATCTCACATGTTTGAAATTAAAAGCAAATCCTGCTATGGGAAAAAGAAATGCCTTGCAAACTCAAAAGTCAGGTCTACAACCTTTCCCCAAAGTAAGTTATGTGCTACAAGAAAAAGCTTGCATAGTATAGAAGGTAACTGCTCAGAAAATATCAGAAACATAACAGATTTGGAAAAATGGCACATCAAGAAGAAGGTAATTTGAAGAACTTCTAGGTACTCACTCAGGTATTTTTTCAGATCGCTGTTCTATTTGTTCAATAAGAGTCTGCAAAATAAAAATATATTAAAAATACATCTGTTTTAGTTATACTTTTAATTACTTTCTGATTTTAACAAATACATGCTAATGTTAGAGAATCTATAAATACAAAAAAGCTGAAACATAAAAATCACCTATAAATACCACAAAATAACCACAACTAATATTTTAGAATATTCTTTCAGGTTTTTGTATACACACACTATAGTTACTATATTAAAAAAAAAAAAAACCCAAACCCTGGAATTATACATTCAACATGATAATCTGCTTTCAAAACACTACATTTCAAAACATCATCCTACTCAACATTAAATGAAAATGTATGGAATGCCTTAGCATAGTTCCTGGCACCTAGTAAACACTCGAATAATAATAATAATAAAAACATTATTTTAAAGGGCCACATAATATACCCTTAGGCAAATGTACCATAAGTCAAATATTGTGTTAGACATCTAGACTGTTTCCTGAAAAGAAAAGTCTAGTGGTTAGGAGCTCTGAGCCTGGAATGAAACTTAGAGGGTCTGGGTGCCAGCTCCCCAGGAGCTGTCTGAGCCCAGGAGAGCGGGCTCACTTCTGAGTTTCCACTTCCTACCACATAAAGCAGGTACAATAATAGTACCTACTTCCCAGCTGGGGACCCCCAACACTGGGTCAAAAAAGATGAATACCTAAAGGGGCTTTTGCTCCATTCTCCTAAAATGTTTTTTGAGGAAGGAATTGATTTACCTCTCTATCAGCAGTATTGTCTGCCTCATCAAATTCTCAAAAGCACTGATTGCTACACCTTAATCTGCCATTGTCTTGACAAAAACAAAATGCCATCTAACCTAAACTACACGTATTCTCCACTGAGGCTACAGATGCACTCATATTTAATGAACCTTTTGCATTTTCTTTGCGTAATCTGGTCATTTATATATCAGATATTCATCTTTCTTACTGAGTTAGAAGTACTCTTAGCTTATTAAAAATATTAACCTTCTCACTTATCTGTTGCAAACATGCTAGTTTCTGCTTTTCTTTGGCTGTTTAAAATTCAGAAAATGGTAATTTTTATATCCTGAATCTTTTACTCTGTAATTTTTTTCCCAATAATTTCTGCTAGGTTTTTTTTTCCTGCTTATTTTTACATTTAACTCTTTAGTTCATTTAGAATGTATTTTGGTAATGTTATAAAGTGAAGAGCTTACTTTTTTCCCCCCAAATACTTAGCAAATCTTCCCAATACTATAGGAAACTCTAACCCTTCCTCTTTAAGATTGATTTCTTTATATACTAAATTCTAGAATTTCTCATTCCAATGATCCACCAATAAATTCTTGATCAGTATCAATGTATTTTTCAAATTTACTTGTATAATTAGTCTTGCTTATTTAGTATACGGGAGAGCAACATGCAGAAGAATGAAACTGGACCACTTTCTTACACTATACAAAAATAAATTCAAAATGGATGAAAGACCTAAATGTGAGATAGGAAACCATCAAAATCCTAGAGAACACAGGCAGCAACCTCTTTGACCTCAGCCATAGCAACTTCCTACTAGACACGTCTGTGGTAAGGGAAACAAAAGCAAAAATGAACTAATGGGACTTCATCAAGATAAAAAGCTTCTGCACAGCAAAGGAAACAATCGACAAAACTAAAAGATGGGAGAAGATATTTGCAAACCACATATCTGATAAAGGGTTAGTCCTAAAATCTATAAAGAACTTATCAAACTCAATACCCAAAAAACACCAAATAATCCAATTAAGAACTGGGCAGAAGACATGAACAGACACTTTTCCAAAGAAGACATCCAGACCGCTAACAGACACAGGAGAAGATGTTCAACATCACTCATCATCAAGGAAATACAAACCAAAACCACAATGAGATATCACCTCACACCTGTCAGAATGGCTAAAATTAACAACACAAGAAACAAAAGGTGTCGATGAGGATGTGGAGAAACGGGAACCCTCTTACACTGTTGGTAGGAATGCAGCCACTCTGGAGAACAGTATGAAGGTTTCTCAAAAAATTAAAAATAAGGCGCCTGGGTGGCTCAGTTGGTTAAGCGACTGCCTTCGGCTCAGGTCATGATCCTGGAGTCCCAGGATCGAGTCCCGCATCGGGCTCCCTGCTCAGCAGGGAGTCTGCTTCTCCCTCTGACCTTCCCCCCTCTCATGTGCTCTCTCTCTCTCATTCTCTCTCTCAAATAAATATCTTTAAAAAAAAAAAAAATTAAAAATAGAAGTACCCTCTGGTCCAGCAATTGCACTACTAGGCATTTACCCAAAGGATACAAAAATACAGATCCAAAGGGGTACATGCGCCCTGATGTTTATAGCAGCATTATCAACAATAGCCAAACTATGGAGAGAGCCCAAATGTTCACCAACTGATGAACAGATAAAGATGTGGTACATATATACAATGGAATATTATCAGCCATCAAAAGAAATGAAATTTTGCCACTTGCAATGACATGGATGGAGCTAGAGTGAAATAATGCTAAGTGAAATAAGTCAGAGAGAGACAAATACTATATAATCTCACTCATATGTGGAATTTAAGAAAGAAAACAGATGAACATATGGGAAGGGGAAAAAGAAAAAAAAGAGAAAGGGAAACACACCATAAAAGACTCTTAACGATAGTGAACAAACTGAGGGTTGATGGAGGGAGGTGGATGGGGAAGAGCTAGATGGGTGATGGGTATTAAAGAGGGCACTTGTTGTGATGAGCACTGTGTTGTATGTAAGTGATGATTCATTGAATTCTACTCCAGAAACCAACATTGCACTGTATGTTAACTAAAAAAAAAAAAAAAAAAAAAAATCCTTCAACTGACTCTCAAGAGGAAAACAGCAAGAGAGTCAGAGGCAACAAAAATAAACAACTCTTTCTAGTAACTTCACAATGAGTAGTAAAAAGCTTTAAAATAAACAAATACAATAAAATACTTCACTAGCTGTCCACTTTTCCTCAATTAGCACGACATGTGATACCCCTCTGAAATGAGCCCTGCAGTCTTTCCTTTTTTCCCAACTGCATGCTATCAATGTCCTGTGTTTTGATCATAACAAGTTACAAGTTCTCCCAAAATATATGTCTCTACAACCATCCCTATACATGCTGTTCTCTCTGTATAAAATACCCTCATCGATCCCCTCAAGTTCACTATACATCTGAGCTTCTTAAGCTCAAATATCACTTCCATCGGAATCCTTCCCTGAGTATCATAGGAAGAGCTAGGTTGTTTCCTGCTCTGGGCTCTTAAGACATCACAAAAGTACACTGCTGTAATGTGGAAGGACAGTGCCTACCTTTCATTAGTGTTCATTTCCTGGTATAAGCAAAGGGCCTAACATACAGCAGAAATTCAAAAGGGCTGGCTAACTAAACTTCAGAGTAATATCCTATTTATGTCAACAGACTTACTCTGACTTTGGGAGCAGCAGCTCGAAATTTCACATAAAATAATGTGAAGGCATTGTCTGCATTAGGTACAGATGCAGGATCCTAAAGAAACATGGGGGAGGAGAGGGAAGGAAGATAATTAGCAAACAAATATTTATTCAGAAAATGTGACACCAACTATTTCAAACAGCTACTGCTTGGCCTATATACCAACCAAAAGCTTAGAGAGAAAAATCTCAAAGAGAGATTACATATTAGTATTATTGCTACAAATGAGAAATACTTGTGTGGAGCTGTCATTTCCTTCCTCCTTATAATTAAAATGTACCCTATGTTACATGAATTTTGGTAGTAAACAGACTTCAATTCAGATTCATACTCAGTCACTTACTGACAGTAGGATACTGGCCAAATTACCGGACCTCTCTGAGATTCAGTGCATCCATTAAATGGTGATAACATATACTCATAAAGGGCAACTAGGTAGCTCAGTTGGTTAAGCGTCTGCCTTTGGCTCAGGTCATAATCCCAGGGTCCTGGGACTGAGTCCTGCATCAGGCTCCCTACTCAGCGGGGAGCCTGCTTCTCCCTCTCCCGCGCCCCCTGCTTGTGCTTTCTCTGTCAAATAAATAAAATCTTAAAAAAATATATATATATATGCTCATAAAGTTTTTATGCAGCTCAATAGTAAAGCACTAGGTACTAGTACACAGTAGGTGCTAGTACTGACTAGGTATTAATTTCTTAAACTTATTAAAAATTTTACAAAATAGGAAAACTATATAATCTGGCCTTCATATCAGCTAAGAGCAATGTGAACACTAAACTCCAACCCCAAAATCAGTGGCTTTGAACTGAACTGAAAATTTAAGAAGATATTCCATGTTCTTTAGAAAGTGAGCTTACAAAATAAAATGTACAATCTTTACGATTTTATTTTATGAAAGAAATGTGTTCAATGACTATCTTAGCTAGCTGTATTCTTAATTTTCTAACGTAACACTCTGCTCAATTTCCACCTAGCTTGCTTGCTCCATCTGTAATTGATCAATTTTTTTGTTTCCTTCTTCGCTGATTACTTCTCCTGAATATAAGCCCCATGAGCCCAGGGACCTTACTGGCTCCTTATCGCTACTGTACAGTTCCCAGTATAATGCCAAGCATTGAGAAGGCACTCAATAAAAATACATTTGCTAAACATAGAAAATTATCTATCATACATAAAGAAAAAAATTCAAAGTATCCATCATATGTAATCCCACCACTAAGACAGAACCACTTTTGTCATTTTGGTGTATTTCCTTCCAATATTTTCATGAATTAGGTAAGAAAATGTTTTAAGTGACAAACAGTTTGAATCTTAGTACTTACCATATAGTACTGAGTACTTCTCACACTATTAAATATTCTTTGAAAATAAGATTCCAATGGACAGATATAATATAGCCATTTTTTTCTATTATAAATAAAACTGATGCATAATCTTATTTAACAAAAGGTAAAAAAAAGTTTTTAGAGTTACTAAGTAGTCATCTCACACTTAGATTATAGAAGATAAATGAATAAAAAAAGAAAAAGAAAAGAAAAAACACTTCACCAGTTAACTTACCCTTTTTAGTAACTGATTTGTGAGGTTTTGTAGTGTGTTCACAGTGTATGTCTTCATAAGGTGCAAAGCTTTAGAAAGACATTGCTTAAATTTCAGCAAATATACAGGATAATCTTTAAAATTTGGCTGTAAAGGAGAGGGAAAGATTTACAAAGAGTAAACAAACATAGGCAGAGTAAACTATGAAAACAAACCTGTCCTTTATACAGTCTTATACAGATCGTAAGCTCGGCAAAGATGAATACAGGCTGCCCCTCCCTCGCACCCACTCAACCAAAAGCTTACTTTATGCCATTTGGCTTTTACAAAAGACTTAGAATCGTACCTGTTTTCACTAACCAAAAGAAATCCAAAGAGGATTTTCACTTTTCTGAAATGGTAACTACTTCTTCGCTCTATGCCATTTTGGCTTACAAAAGGTTTCATAGAACATTCTACTTTCAGATAGTGGGGGAAACCTGTACAGCTATAAATCCTTAGGGGATAGAAAGAGGGTGATTAAATCAAATGGCCTGTTCCTTTATTTCCTCCCAAGTAACACTTTTTGCTTGTCAAAGAAATATCTAAAACATTAGGAAGTCAACAGCCTAAAAATCACTCATCCTTTTAGGCGGCATAAAACTGTGTCAGCCAGGACCTCTTTCTACTCCAGGGGTTGCCTCAGAAGCTGAAAGTACTTTTTTACATCACTACTAACAACGATTAAGAATTTACTACAGTCTTTCTTCAAATATATTACAGATACATTTTTCCCTTCAGAAGAAATAATTACTTCAAAGCATAAGAAATTATAAAATAGGGATGTTAATATTTCTTAAAAACATACAGAAATACCATGACTTACATGCGATGAGATATATGTTATACAATCATCTAACTTGGCCAGCATAGGTATAAATCCTTCACTATTAACAGACAACGTAGGAGAATTCAATTTCTTTAAGAAAAAAAAAAACTTAATTCACAAAAAATATACAAGCAAAGTTGAATATTACGTATTAGAATTAGCATATTTCCCATTAAGCTATAACACAGTGATACTAATATCTTTACATTTTAAGAATCACCAAAATATCCTCAAATAGTAGCCCACGTGTAATAATAAAGAAAGGACAAAAAAAACAATACTGATTTAATTCATTTTATTCCTAATGAGCTTTAAGGGGGCTCTTCATAAATTAACAAATATTTATATTAACCCCACTGTACAATGTTATACTAAAATAACACATCAACTACCTAGATTTCCCATTTTCTAGTACTTTATAACATATACAAATTTCCTACTTTCAAACACTGGTGATTTTCTCAAGGTTAAAGGATTAACTAGCAGTCATACCATGTTTAGCAGACATATTACAAAAGTAAAACATATATAAGTAAAATATAAGTAAGCATTTATAAAAATATAATGTAAGTATAAATATGAGTAAAATATAAACGTTCAGTACTTAATATATAAAATTACACATTAGAATATATAAACTATATAACATGTCTTTAATATAATAGAAATATACAAAAATATAAGTAATGTATGTTAAAATGTAAAAAAAAACAGCCAATCATTTATCTTGATAGCTTGGCAATGAACGATTTCCTTGTATTCCATTGTTAACTAGCTCCTAGTTTTCTAACTCTGTAGTAAACCATAATAATTATGATTAATTTAATGATTTTAATAATTTATATGTAGTAATTGTGATTAATTTATGAGCCAGAAAGACATAGGAATATAATTTACACAGCAGTTTTGAGACTATTACTTTGTGATACAAGCATGCATTATAAGGACTATACTTCAAATTAAACATGAGATTAATTTAAAAAATGTTTTGATTACTAATAATAACACAACCACAGCAAGATTTAAAATTTAATATTTCTTCTTACAATCTTCACAGCTTACAAATAAGATACTGTAAGTGGTAACTGACAAAGAGATTTTAGTAACAATAATATAACTTAAGAACTACTACTTAAGGGCACCTGGGTGGCTCAGTTGGTTAAGCGACTGCCTTCGGCTCAGATCATGATCCTGGAGTCCCGGGATTGAGTCCCGCATCGGGCTCCCTGCTCAGCAGGGAGTCTGCCTCTCCCTCTGACCCTCCCCCCTCTCATGTGCTCGCTCTCTCTCTCTCAAATAAATAAATAAAATCTTAAAAAAAAAAAAAAGAAAAAAGAACTACTACTTAAATCATATTTGAAAAAATCTGAACTGGTAATGATATCTCCATCGGGTACAAATAGGAATATCTATCAGCAAGCAAACTATTAAGTTCAAATACCACTCAGGCCAATTTATAAATTTAAAAATTATATTCAGAAAGGGAAATATAAAATAAGGTTATTAACTTTACAAAAAGTAAAAAACCATGCTTACTGTGTTAATAGTTTCCAATTCATTAAAATAGGAAAGCTTCTGTTGAATGTTTTCAGCCAGATCAACAAGTTCCGACTTGTGTTTTTTAAAAAGAAAAAAAAATTAGCATAAGAACATAAGAATCAACACTCCAGTCTCAAAATTACATGAATAGATTTATACCAGATAGGTTTATGTTAGACATAAGATTTCAGACTAATGCTCAAAGATTTCTGCAATTATGGACTAATAAGCAATGATTAGTATAGCAACTTACATATGATCTTTTATAAAACAATAAATAATTGCCTTTAAAAAAAAAACTCAAAATACACAGAGAAAACTCAGATAAAGTAACTTAAATGTTCTATCTTTAAATCATAAATTTAACTGCAATCTAGATCAGTTCATCTTTTCATAAACCCCACCATTACTACAATCACTGTGCTTGTCTGAAGTGTCAATAGTAAAGTGTGCACAGAGCAAACTAATGTATCCTCTTCACTCTGAAATTGTGCTGAGATATAACAGCTCAAAACGTAGGAAAGCTTGCCTTGCCCAGTTCACTCATGTAAGCTTATTTAAAATAAAAAAGTCTGACAATGTAACAATTTGCATGCTTAGCACAAGGCCTCATACAGAGTTCAATATATACTTGGAGAAATTAGAGAAATTACAATTAAATTCTATTCATCTACTTAAAAATAAAATATTAAATACAATCACTAACCCTTTCCCATACTCCAAATTACCTGTTCTTTTAGGAGCTGTTCACAGGCTTCATGTAGGGTTCCTGTCTTATTGGACACAAAAAGATACTGTTTCTGCAATGATTCCAGATGCTGAAGAGCACTGTTTACATCATTCAATATAGCGTCACACTGCTCCTGAAACCCAGACAAGTAATCCCTCATCTGTCTAGAAAACAGAACCAAAAGGGGATTGGCAATATTTTCCCCCAATAAGCAGAGTCAATAAACAACAAAGTCTCATTTTTCCCCAAATGCTTGAATTTCAGGAGAGAAGTCTGGCCATTCACTAAAGCTTATTATATTCAAAAACTATGTTAACACCTTTTTCAGTAATTTAGAAGGAAATCACTGCAACTATAAGCAACAAAAGGAATCAACTTGAAGCCACAAGCTGGCTTTTCACACGTAAGGCAAGAAATCACTGGCCCAACTTTCAAAAACTAGGACACTAGGGCCATCCCAAGGTATGGAATAGGTCAATCCCTTAGGTCACTTATGCCAAAAACCCCATGATGGTATAAGGTCATGGAAAGAATTTTGGACTTTGAATTAGAAGACCTGAGTATAGGGGTGCCTGGGTGGCTCAGTCGTTAAGTGTCTGCCTTCGGCTCAGGTCATGATCCCAGGGTCCTGGGATCGAGCCCCGCATCGGGCTCCCTGCTCTGTGGGAAGCCTGCTTCTCCCTCTCCCACTCCCCCTGCTTGTGTTCCCTCTCTCGCTGTGTCTCTCTCTGTCAAATAAATAAAATCTTTGAAAAAAAAAAAAAAAGACCTGAGTATAAGTCTCAGCTCTGCCCAACTCTCTATGACGTTAGGCAAGTTACTTAATACTTTCAGGCCTCAGTTTGCACATTTGTAAAATGGGAAAAATAATACCTTTCCTCACATAGCTGCTATAAAGATTAAGTGGAATCATGTATCAAAGAGCCTAACACATTGCCTAGCAATAACACTTAATAAATGCTAAATAAATGCAATTATTCAACCCACAGTCCCCAAATCAGCTAGAAACTATGCACCATCATTTCTTCCATGCTAACAATATACACAAACAGAACAACATAGTTACACCCAGTCTAGGTGGGCATCCCTAAAATCTCTTGGGTCTCTACTCCTAAAGAAAAGCAACAAATATCTCTTACAGTTCCTGTAAAATTCCCACTTGAACCCAAACCTTTCTAGAATTATCTAAAAACCAATGTCTGTACTTCCTCACCTATTATGATACAACTATTTTTTTTAAATCACACAATTTCTCTCTAGCTCTTTTTAAAGAAAGTGTTGCTGTTGGAACTTTCTTTGTACCTTAATTTTGTTTGAAGACACAGATTATGAAATGCTGCAGATGAGTATGATTTAAAAATCAGGATAGCCAACAAACTCAAGAACCACATACCTGTACTTAGTTTCTTCATCCTGATCCATCTGAGTTTGTAGCTTTGCAAACCACGAGAAAAACTGGAAAAATAAAGAGTATTATATTGTCAACAAAACTAAAACAGACAAAATGAAAAGTGGCTACATGCTAAACAGCAAGTAAAAAGGGTATACACTATCTAAGTCTTATTGTATGGGATCAGACATTAATAATTACTTTTAACCAGGAGATAACAATTTAATTCCATAGTCAATATCTACATGCTAGGAAAAGCAAAGGATATTAAAAACATTGGTCATATCCAGAGTCAAACAAGTAGGAGTATTAAAGATACAATATGTAAAAAATATATATTTCTTCCTAAGAGGCTAATGCCCATTTGCTACTTTGCTCAATTTGAATAGGTAACTTAGGGTTTTTGGGTAAATGTTAATATTAATGTTAATATTCTTACATAATAAGAAATGTAAAAATATAAACTGAAATAATATAACAGAGTGGATTAAGAACATGAATTTTTGTATCAGCTAAACCTGGGTTTGAGTTATGGCCCTGACACCTATTTCATAAGTCATGAAAAATATCTATTACTAAAAAGAGGTGGAGAAGACTGACAAAGAAGCATGAAGGATAATGGAAATGGTTTATATCTTGATCAGAGTGGTAGTTAAACTTGTCAAAACTCATCAAGCAAAATACTTAAAATGAGTATATTTCATTGTGTATAAATTATAACTCAATATACTAGGTTTTTTCTTAATTTAAAGAGAGATACACAGGTACAAATTTAGCCCAGATGACTTTTTTTTTTCAAATAATCCAAATAAGTTCATTGACACAGCGTAAGACTATCTTCTGTAATTCTCAAGTGGGATTTGAAGTCAAGGGTATGTTTTATTCTCAAGATACAAGGCTTGCCAAGTACCTTAGCCACCATTTACTGGACACTGACTGTGTGCCTGCCATACAGGGTATGCATTATCTAATTTTCAGAAAAACCCCATGAGATGGGTTTCAGGCATCCTTGTTTTACAGATTAGAAAACTAAAAGCCTAAGATATAAGTAATTTGCCTAAACTCACAAGGATGGTAAATGATGGAAGTGACTTTCAGATCCAAGCTGGCCTATCTCAAGAGGTGGAGCTCTTTTTCACTCTGCAGCACCGCCTCTTGACTTACTACATATGCAATTCAGCATGCTTGCTTTTTGTTTTACTGGGTAAATGCCTAGGCTTTGATTTTACAGGGTAGAAAGAAGAGACAGGGGAAGTGACAGAAGAAACTGCTATACATTTAGGTTTATAATGAGCAATAAATAAAAATCAAGGAAAGATTACACATGTAAACTACTGAAAAATGACTATAAGGATTCATCTAAAGAGAATACTTAGGTTCTTAAAAAAAGAAATTACATAGCAACAAGCAGAGGGGTGTGTGCGCACATATGCGAGTATGTGCGCACACACACACACACACACGCATGCTGGCGGGGGGGGGACACATTAACATAAACATACACTGGGGGAAGTCAAAAGTGCATGAACTATTAAAACCCTAATGACTAGCTATTAACATCCACACTTGGAATATCGTATCTTTATCTGTATTTCAAGTATAATTGGGCAAGAGGTTAATTTAAAACACTTACAAAACAGCCATAGCTAACACAAAATCAAGATTGTTCTAGAAAGATCTGATGTTAACTATAGTTTCAAATGTTCAGAACTTTTAATTAGGACATTTTTATTAGCCCTGTCTTGAGATATTTAGAATAATCAACCGTCCTTAGCAACAACACTGCCATTCACCTGCTGCGCAGTTTCAATTCTTTCTTCTTCCATTTCTAAGGAAGTGAAACCCTTCGAGAGAATGTCTTCTGTAGATTCGGGTATTACTGAAGTCTGTGCAATGGGCAGCGACTGGGATGTTATGCTACATAAGTCTTCAATTGGAAGCTTCAAAAAAAAGAGCCACAAAAATATTTAAATAACTTGAAAACTCTCTAAACAAGATTGCTATTCCATCTCACTGTTTTGAAAGAGAAAGAAATGTTTTCTATTAAATCATTTGAGGTTAATAAATGCCATATAATTCTATTAAATGCTAGTCTCAAAATATAAATGTGATACTGATATCACACCACTAGTAAAGTAAGATTTTTGAGTTACATTTCTAATACTGGCCGTCAATCTGTGCTAATCAATACACATTTTCTTACTTGAACCTCTTGTGAACTGGCACCAAAGGCAAAAACCTGTATGCTGTTGAAAGTAGCTTGCCTTCCCAGGATCTAACAAAAGAGCTTGGCCTGATTAATGAGCACCAACAGAAAATAAATCACACCCAAGAATTAACTATCAATAGTTATCAATTATCAATAACTATCAATTATCTCCTTATGCCATTTCTACCACTGGCTCACTTCACACACACCTTGGTGACAAATTTTGAAATTACAACTGAGTAGAAAGAATTTCGGAGTTTCCCATCAGTTTCAGAAGAGCCCCACCTAAAAGGCCTCACTTTGAGGCCATCAACCTACAATTCTAGTTCTCCACTACTAAAGATAGTCCAGGTGTTAACTTACCTATAGTCACACAGACATGCTATTTTTAGACCTACAATAAACGGAGTGTGGTTGCAGGGTAAGGTAAAAGGGCCAGTTTCATTTCAGTTCCAGTTTTTAGTCCTCAGGGCATAACATTTAAAGCCCACTTACATAAAACCTTGACCCCAGGGCCTTAGGAAATTGCTCCCATCTGTTTTCCTAGATATAAAACTTCCATCTGAAGATAGTATTTGATCTTCAAAGCAAAAAAAAAAAAAAAAAAGCTAGATGCACAATGCACCATCACTAATTTAGAAATACAATCCTTTGTACCTGAGTTCAAGTGGAGCCATCCCTTCTGGTACGGTAAAGCACCTTATAGTGCAGCCTGGTTTGAACCCTGCTCCTGCTCACGTATAAACTGTGTGACCATGGGCAAATTACTTACTACTTCTAAACCCCAATTTCTTCTCTATAAAATAAGAATTACAGTATCTGGGCTGCCTGGGTGGCTCAGTCAGTTAAGTGTCTTTCTGCCTCTGGCTCAGGTCATGATCTCAGGATCCTGGGATTGAGCCCCACATGGGGCTCCCTGCTCAGTGGCAGAGTCTGCTTCTCCCTCTCCCTCTGTCCCCCGCCTCCAGCTCATGCTCTCTCTCACTCAAATAAAATCTTTAAAAAAAAAAAAAGAAAGAAAAAAAGAATTCCAGTATCTGTATCATGAAGCCATTGTGAAAAAAAGAAAACACAGGTGTGGCAAAACAGGCTTCTTAAACTGCTGGGAAGCTGCAAACCAAAAAAAAAAACAAAACAAAACAAAATGCTCAAGAAAGTCCTCATCTGCCTTCTCCCCACAAATGAGTCTGACTCAAGAGCCAGGAGGTCATGGGTATATGTAAATACATCTTATTAAGGGCACCACTTATTCATGTAAACTCTTCCTGAATGGTGACATAATACCTACCTCAGTAATAAAAGGACACAGTAAAAACTAAGTTTCTCACATCCGGTGAGAATCTATCTTGAGTCTGAAGTATCACCAGCAACTGTGTGCTGCCACCAAGGGTTCGGAAAGTAAAAGGGCCTTTGTTTCATTTCAATTCCAGTTTTGAGTCTGGAGGCAGAGAAGCCGTTCGGTCACACTGTTCCTGCTCTGTGCAACCAGCCCAATTACCAACAAAAGTGGCCTCCTTGGAGAGGGGGAGGTAACCCCCCAGAGACAATACTATGTGTATTTAGCATAATGCCTGCCAGATAGTAAACACTCAATAAATCTGAGCTACTGCTATTTACCATATTATTCTTATTATTCCTATTTATGAGCAACAGAGTAAGTAAATCTATAAATCAGAATCTAGAGTGCTTCTTGGGAACAGAACAGTCCATAAGCTATTTTTATAAAATTATATCTCACTAGGAATAAAATTTAGTTCTATATGAACAGACTGTGACAAAATTCAAACATATGGGACACCTGGGTGGCTCAGTCAGCTGGGTGTCTGCCGTTGGCTCGGGTCGTGATCCCAGGGTCCTGGAATTGAGCCCCACATCAGGCTCCTTGCTCAGTGGGGAGCCTGCTTCTCCCTCTGCCTGCTCTGCCTGCCACTCCCCCTGCTTGTGCGCTTGCTCTCTCTCTGACAAATAAATAAAATCTTAAAAAACAAAAAATTCAAACATATAATTCTATCATCAATGTTTACACAATACCTAAAAGGAAAAAGGGAAGGGAGATGTGGATCAGGCTCGGATTTGAAGAACATACCAGAAAGCACAAGAATACTAGGCTAAGGTAAAAGAAAGCTGGACAGAGGGCTGCTGCAATGGATTCATCAGTACACTCAAAACAGCTAAAGAATCCATGAAATTGAAGACAGTCAGTATAATAACCCAACAGTAAACACACAAAGGGAAACAGAGTGAGAAAATACAAACTGAACACACTATCCAAGAAGAATGGGATGGTAGCAAATTATCTAGTATATGCATAATCTGAATACCAAAAGGAGAGAATAGGGTAGAAAAAATATTTTAGTTAAGAATTTTCCAAAAATAATAAAAGACACCAAACTACAGTTCTGAGCTCAGAATACACACACACACACACACACACACAAATGCACATCTAGACACATGATATTCAAACTCCTGAAAAACAAAGTTAAAAAGAAAATCTTGGCAGATGAAGGAAAAAAGACTTTACATGCAGAAGAATGAAGATAAGAATTACAGCAGACTTCTCATCAGAAATTGGGCAAATCTTTTAAGTGATAAAAGGAAAAAACTGTTAATCCAGAGTTCTTTATCTAGAATATTTTTTTTAATGAAAGGGAAATAGAGACTATTTAAACAAAGCTGAGAGAATGCATTTCTAGCAGACTTGTACTACAAGAAATGTTAAAGGCAGTTCTTCAAAAGCAGATAGAACATAAGTACCAGATGGGAACCTCAATTTTAAAACAACAACAAAAAAAAAACTAAAGCGCTCCAGAAATGGTTTAAATAAAGGTAAATATGACAATTTTTAAATTTTTTAATCACTCAGAAAGATAAATGTAAAAAGCAAACATAGTATCAATGTATCATGGGTTTAAAACATATGTAAAAGTAAAATACATAACAATAGTACAAAAGAGAGAGAGGAAGAATTGGGAGCATACTAATGTGAGATTCTTATTCACACATGAAGTAGTATAATATTTAAAAGCAGACTGTGACTAATTAAAGAAATATATTGTAAACACTAGGGCAACCATTTGAAATATTGAAAACGCATAGAGGACCTAGCAACATTCAGTCCTTCAATACCACCAAGACCTATATCTATCCTTAATTCAATCCCTTTGAGAAAAAAAGATCTTAAATGTATCTTTAAAAGTCATATAAATCAATGTCAAAACTCTGGTTATAATACCACATACATGGTTTTGCAAAATGAAAATGTAATAATCACATTCTATCAGAGTTTATGAGGTCTTAAACCACATAATTCTAACACCACTTGACAATATACCACAAATTACAGATAAAAAGTAAAATTCCTCTTGTTCCAGAATCATTTATAATATACATAGCAGTCTTTTAAACATAGTTACTTGAAAAGATAATAAATTCACATGGCACAAAATTTAAAGGACATTCAGTAGAAGTCCCCTTCCCCTGGACCCGTTCTCCAACCATCCAGTTCCTTCCTCAGAAGCTATTAGTTACAAGTTTCTCGGGATTCTTTCCTATAATAGCCTATATATAGACAAGGGAAGTGTACCTTTTAATAGTATGCTATACACACACTTTGCCTTTTTCATTTAATATGCATCATTTTCAATTGTCTCTCAACCGAGTATGGATTTTACTCTCACTTTATTTTTTTTAAAGAATTTATTTATTTATTTGACAGAGAGAGAGAGACAGCGAGAGAGGGAACATAAGCAGGGGGAGTGGGAGAGGGAGAAGCAGACTTCCCACTGAGCAGGGAGCCCGATGCGGGGCTCGATCCCAGGACCCTGGGATCATGACCTGAGCCGAAGGCAGAAGCGTAATGACTGAGCCACCCAGGCGCCCCTACTCTCTCACTTTAAATTCATAACTGTCTGTCATTAAACTATAACAGGCCCATTATTTTAGAAGTCCAGGAGTACAGAATGATTATTTAAGTAAAAACCAAGTCTTCCTTCTTCTTTTCCATCTTTCCAGTTGTTCTTCTCTGAGGCAATACCAGTGTTTTGTTTGTTTTAAAGATTTATTTATTTGTCAGAGAGAGAGAAAGAGCACAAGCAGGGGGAACAGCAGACAGAGGGAGAAGCAGGCTCCCTGCTGAGCAAGGAGCCCGATGTGGGACTCAATCCCAGGACCCTGGGATCATGACCGGAGCCAAAGGCAGACGCTTAACAGACTGAGCCACCCAGGCATCCCAATACCAGTGTTTATAATTGAGAAATTCTTCTAAGGATTTTGAGGGCAGAATGAAGAACTTAAGAAGGAATGAAAGAGATAATTTGCAATTTTTATCAATCTTCCCTTATAGAAATTATTCAAAACACATAAACATAATTTTATTCTAAATCATCAAAAGAATTATAATGGAAAAGTAAAATCCTTCCCCCAACTCCCACTTTTAGCCAATTTAACCATTTTCAATATTTTTGGTGGTTACCCCATAACTCTAAAACACAGATTTACAGCAGTCTTCACTCAATTCATCAATCTGAGGTCCCCACTAAGTAAAATGAAGAAATGAGTCTCCCTAATATTTTCTTCTACATTTAATCTCAAATCCTGTCATTTATACCACCTCTTTTTTAGATCTTCAAAGTTAATAATATTTATACCTTATTCTGTAATTAAGTCTTTAGATTTTTTAAATGGTTGTACATACTTCCTGACTTCCATAAATTTACCAAAACTACAAGTTTACTGATACTGTCTTTCTTTCTGGGGTGCCACACAAATATTACTGTCATGTCAAAAGGACCAAGGGTGTCATACACATGTGGTCAGTATGTCATCTTGAACCAAAAAATATTTATCTTCTAATTTACTTTAGAAAACCAAATCATATGAAAACTCTAGATACTTGAGAAGGTAATGCAGATATTCCAGATACGGTCTATAGTCACGTTGTGAGTAAACATAACTTGAATATATGAAAAAGCATTCTATTTGATTACTTTATGTACAAATACTAACTACTTTTCAAGCATAAGGACTTTTATCTTAAAGATTTTATTTATTTATTTGACAGAGAGCGAGCAAGCACAAGCAGGGGGAGTGGAAGGCAGAGGGAGAAGCGGGCTCCCCGCTGAGCAGGGAGCCCCATGTAGGGCTCGATCCCAGAACCCTGAGAACATGACCTGAACCAACTGAGTCACCCAGGCACCCTGCATAAGGACTTTTAAATACCAGAAATAGAAGGAGGCTTCCTGTCCTGTTCCCTTGTTCGCACTAATGCAAAACCATTTACTCTCAAACCAAGCAAGAGAGAAGCCAAGCAGACCACTTCTAAGAAGTAATTTTTTATAGAAACAAAACAAGTTGTTTTTTAAAAGAGTACGAGAAAATGCCCCCATTAGGTACATTTGCTCAGCTGTCTTCTTTTCTCAAAGCACCTGGAATAGAAAGGAAAATCAAGAAGAGGTGTGGTGGTGTCACAAACTTTCCTGTCCTGACCTCTCATTCACTCCTGGCTGGCTCAGTCGGTAGAGCACACAACTCTTCATCTGGGAGTCGTGAGTTCGAGTCCCACATTGGGTGTAGAAATTACTTTAAAAAAATAAATAAATAAGCTGGCTCTCATTCACTCATTCACTCCTGAGTCCTCTGGCTCACTCACACTGTGCTGGCTTCCAGATGGAGCAGACATTTACCACCAGAGAGAGAAGAGCACAGATCTAGGTTCCTAATTGGCAGTCCTAGAGAGCTACTGTATAGTTTATGCAAATGGTATGTTAACATCTTAAATAATAATTACAATAAACTATCAACCTCACCTGACGAGTTAAGCAGGTCCAGGAAAAAAACAAATACACCTTTCTTTCCCAAACTTTACTTGCACAGTTCTGGGTTAGAGAATATCACTTTCATAATCTAAACAATTCATTCCCTAAATGAAACCTGATGTTACTTTCTCTCACTGGAGCAAATCATTGAAGAGGTATAGATGGAATCCCAGAACCTTCCTCAAGGCACTTAACCTCTTTTCTTACCTTTGGTCTGAGTGACACCTGTACCAGCTCAGGATCACAAAATTCTAATCTATTCTCTCAAGTTATTAATCATTTGGGGGGGAAAAGCATATAATATAATACTACCAGGTCACTCGCTGTGTGCACTTTACATACACGATTTCACTGAATTCTCACAACTCCCCATCAGACAAATAAGGTACTATTATGAGCCCCATTTTATAAAGAACAGGTTCAAAGAAGTTAAATATATTAAGAACACACAGCCTTAAGGAAAACACTGTCACAGTACATTTCAGGTAAATTTCAGGATCAATTATTAGCATTTATCAAAAACTACTAAGTTCAGCAGAGAGAAAAAGGCGCTCACTACTAAAAAATTTGCCCTGGCTATAAGAAACCAGTCTACCTAATATTTTACTGCAAATTCTTTTATCTAACACCAAAAAAAAAAAAAAGATTTAACTTCTTTCCAAGATAAGACCAGTTCCCCTTCATAAAAGAGAAAGCTATTTTCTACAGAAGTTAACAGCTTTATGATATTTACTGAAGCTTAGCTGGCCTTTTGCTATTCAACTAACGTGCTCAGTTCCAGTTGTTCAGGAAGTAATTAATCTTGTGAAAACTGTGAAACACTACAGAAAATCCTTTACAGATACCCTAGACAAAATAAAAATTGAGGCATTCTTTTTCAGCACCAGTGTTAAGAGTGGTAATAGATGAAGAATTCAATTCCAATGTTCCCACCAGACATATAAATACTTTAGTAAAGGTAAATGAAGGCTGTAGATAGCTAAAGAACAATGACTCCTCTGAAAGATCCCAGACAGGTAAATAAAGGTCATTTCATTCTCGCAGGAATCCAGTATCTAAGCTACATGTACCAGAACACCCTCACTGAACCCCTGAACTTGTCAAGCTCATCTCCTACCCAGGACTTTGCATTGTTTTTTCCTCCACCTGGAAGGTTATTTCTCTAGTCTTTGCAAGACCGGCATCTTGTCTTCCATCATGAATTTTCACATTAGACTGTCACTTTCTTAGGCTTCCTTCCTTGTCCCTTTGCGTCACACTATCTTGTTTTGTTTTCCTTATATCATGGATCACTGTCTGAACTCACCTTGTTCTTTTTTTACAAGTTCTTGATCACAATTATGTCAGCTCCATGAGACTAGGGATCTTGATTTTCTTATCCTTCTATCCTCAATTCCTAGCCCAGAGTAGGCACATATGTTAAACGACTGCATGAGGTGAATGTGGGCATTATACTGCATAAATATGAAAAAAAAAATGGGGTGAAAATGAAAGATTCCATTTACTTCCTCCAAACCCCTTTCCTTCATGCTCAATAATAATAGTTTATAAGCTAAGATAATAAAAGCAAATTGGGTTACTATTCTTGTGGACTATATTCCCCACAGGCGCTGTAATGTCCAAGCATCCTGCTTCGGTAACAGGCCAAATCAATCATAAACAGACTGGAACGTTTATAAAGCAAACAACTTCTATTATCCAGAGAATAAAAGACTTTGATAGCCAAGCCAAAGAAATTTCCCCGTTTCCTCCTTTATTTCAGCATAGCATCCTACAGGTGGACAGAGAAACACAAGAAAGAACGCCTGTACTTTATGGTGGAGCCCGTAACAGTGAAAGTGAACTTTCAAATCAAAGTTCTCAACCTCTAATATTTGAGGGTAGAAAAAAAAAACTTTGTCTCTAAAAACAGTCTGCCTTTGGACACAATTCCAAATCGCGTACAAGGAGTGCTTCCAACATAAAAAATAACCATCATTATTAATAAAATAGTAATCCTAAACCTGGCTCTCAAAACCAGAAAAAAAGCCTGCCAAACATCTGACAATTCATAAGATGTACTTCTTGGTATTGTAACTACTTGAACTGAATGACACAAGCGGTAATATACATAATATTTTAATTAAGATTAAAAACGTTGACACTAACACCGAAAACCAGCGTTACCTAATGTACTGACCCAGCTTTCAAAGAAAATTCATTTTTATGGCTCTGTTACAGGTCAGATAAACCGATCTCCCATAACCTGTACTTGATGGAGAGCTTATTGCTCAATGGGCGATGAATGAAACCGTCACTCAGGGTCAAGTTGTGTCTCTCCAAGTGCCCCCATGGAAAGAGGAAGCTGGGTTACTCATTAAGGTGGTAAACGAATACCAATAGGAAGGAGGTTGTCCTGAAGCAAAGCTCTTCGGGTTCGGTGCCCTCTCCTGCGAGATGGTGGGCAGCAGGAATATGCCTCAGCTGAGAGCAGGGACACCCGGGGCAAGACGCTCAGGGCAAGGAAGGCTCCCAGCCAACCGTCCCACGCCGCAGGTGGAGGGCTGGGTGCCAGCCAACACCAGCCACTGGACGCCCTCACAGCCGCCCCCGCCCTAGAGTCGGCGGTCGCCGGCAGTGCGAGGCCTGACAGCCCGTGAAGGTGAAGGGGCCTCTCCCACCCGAGCTGCCACAGTGAAACGGGAGGAGGGAGGAGAGCCCCCGGGCCACAGTCTGCAAGGCCGGGGTCCGCGGGCGCGTCGGAGAGGCATCCCAACCCCGCCTCCTTGCCGCCCAGCCCGGTTCCAGCAGGTCACCTCACCTCGGCCGGAACGGGCAGGTTCTCTGCCGCCGCCTTCAGCTCCAGCACCGAGTCCATCTGCCTGTCGGTCAGCGGCGCCGTCGTGTCGGGTCTCCGATCCCAGAGAGCCAGCCTTTCCCGAGCGTCCCGCTCTGCCGCCGCCTCAGGCGGCAGCAGGAGCGCCGCCTCTGCCATCGCCGCTGCCCCCGTGGGCCTCAGCAGCAGCGGGGTGGTGCGGCCCCCGACAGAGAGGCCCGGGCCACTTCCGGGGGAACCCGGGCTTCCAGCAAGGCACCGGCGGCGGGGCGGAGCCGAATAACCTAACCCCGGAAGTGCTTCCACTGTGTGTGGGCGGGACCGAGGCAAGGATAGACGTGGCTCTACACGGGGTACAAATATTTCCGGTTGGGATATAGAAGAAGCGCGCAAAGAATATACCCCCTGACGGAAATAGAAATGCCCCTACCGGAAGTCTCTTTCTCAACTTCAATAACTTTATTGTTACGTGTTTTTCAGGTTATTGACAATTGAGCTACCTGACCCTGCCGGCAGAGGTCCTCCTGAACTCCAGGATCTCCAGCCTCAGTTCACCGCTGACTAGTCTGGGTGGAGTGTGTGTGGACCGTGTGATTTCCGTGTAGACATGTTGAGAGGTGCCACCGCCTAGATCACAACCACCAGTATAAACTTTTCCAACATCCAATAATTCTGTTAGAAAACCAAGTTATGGAAAACATAAAAACTCAAAGATTTCTGTATATGAAAAATCTTTAATAGTATCAAATAACTTGGGGGGCTTGGGGGGCTCAGTTGGTTAAGCAGCTGCCTTCCGCTCAGGTCATGATCCCGGGGTCCTGGGATGGAATCCCATGTCGGGCTCTCTGCTCGGTGGAGCCTGCTTGTCCCTCTCCCTCTGCCAGCTGCTCTCTGCTTGTTCCTCTCTCTCTCAAATAAATAAATAAAATCTATGTCCAACATTGAAGAAATGGATTAATTCATGGCACAGACATGTAATTGAAATACTATTCAATCCAAGGGCGCCTGGGTGGCTCAGTCGGTTAAGCCCAGGAAAGCCCTGGACTCTTGAATTCGGCTGCAGTCATGATCTCAGGGTCCAGGGGTAGGGCTCCATGCTCATCCTGGAGTCGGCTTGGGATTCTCTCTCTCCTCTCCCCCTACCCCTCCCCCCTGCTCTCACGCACTCTCTCTCTCTCTCAAATAAATAAATCTTTAAAAAAATACGATTCTGTCTTTTAAATCATGTTGTAGTTTTGACAAATAATTAAAAACAAATATAGTATTGGATAATTTGTAGAATAAAAGTTCTATAACTTATAGAATAAATAAATATCTGTGAGTCCATACTGACATAAATAAATGATTGGATAAGTAAATGAGGGAGAAGGGATAATTCTACAGAGGAATTCCTATCAAATATAGAATGAGGAAAACAGTAATAATTGACAGACAAAATCTAAGAATGGATTCTAAAATTAGTGGGTGAAAGTTTGAGGAGAAATAAATTTGCACTGTATCATATGATCTCCCCAAGGTATTTATTAATTGCAATGAAGGGGGGCTGATATTTTACAGTGGAGAAACCTGGCAAGTATCACCTTAACCAAGCCACAAAGGTCAACGTCATCATCGTGAAACTCCTGACATGATAAGTCAAGGAGAAGGACACAGTATCACTTCTGTGGTATTCCTGCCAAAAATGCAAAACTACATTCTAACTATGAGAAAACATCAGGCAAACCCAAATTGAGGGACATCCTGTAAAGCAACTGACCGGTATTTTTCAAAAGTGTTAAGATCATAAAAGACAAGGAAAAATCACGGAACTGTGACATGAGATGAGGGAGAAATGACAGCTGGATGCAGTGTAGGAATCAGGATTAGATCCTGGGACAGAAAAAGGGAAAACTATAGAATAAAATATAGATATTTGAATAAAGTCTGCAGTTTAGATTACACTATTGTACCAATGTTAATTTCCCAGTTTTGATTATTGTACATGATTTTGTAAGATGATAACATTGGGGGAAGCTGAATAAAGGGCACACCTGAACTCTGTGCTACTTTTGCAACTTTTCTGAAGTCTAAAATTACCTAAATGTAGGTGGTTGGGATTACTAATTATGTTTTTTTTTCTTTTGTTTTTTTTTTTAATCATTCAACCCAGCTTCAGAGCATTGTTTCCCCGTCAAACCACTCCACCACTATTTCCTAAAGAAAATCATCTTGTAGATACAGAGACATGTGGATCTACTCGTCAAAGTACCTAACACACACTTTCTCTTCTTGCCAGACTGATCTCTAGTTCCAAAAATCTCATAAATAAAATTAATTCTGTTGAGTTTTGTGATGTCAATTCTTCACCAAACATCATCCTTTTATATTCATCCAAATATAAGCATATTTTTCTCCCAAATGTGTTTCTATTGCAGATTTTCCTAAATCCATGATCACTCTACTTTCTTCTAAATATTATGTTTAATTCCTTAAAATATTTTTAGTAACTGGTGATTCGTGATGCTAAAGTGTTGGAGGAGGTCATCGAGAAGACAAGACCACCAGTTGAGCTGGACTTGGATCATCAAAGGCTCCTCACCTCTTCCCCTGTCCTTGGACTGTAACTTCTGCCCACCACTCCCACAATGGGAGCTGTTTTCAAGGATGCAGCCTTGAGAGAGCAATATGTTGTTGAGACCATCTGGACTGAATACATGACTGAACCCAGTGAAGGCCTCTATATAAACTTTAAGATTCTGTCAGGCAGGTGCAGAGATCTACTCGTCTCCCGGCTGCCTACGACAAGCCTCATATGTAAGTTCCCTTGCTTATTGAGACAGCCACTTACCGACCTGGAGTGGCCTGCCACCTTCTTCGGTCTCTCACTACCCTCTTAATGTGGGTGCCAGTTTCTAATTTTACCTGCGGAATTTCTGAGGCTTCAAACCAACATCAAGGGATGCAATGCAGGTCACGGTACCCATGGAAAAGATTTGGGTCAAGGCTGAATGTTTAATCAGCTGCTGTGAGATCAAATGAGGGAAGAGGAAAATAGATATGCAACACAATAATGCCTCATCTATTCTTGAATCAAAGAACTGAGAGAGCTAAGGAAGCAGTGCATGGAAGACCCAGCAGTCTCCAGCTGGCCCTGCAAGGGTAGGAGGGAGACAAGAGCAAGGAAACAGAGTAACAGCAGTTTGCATGGGGTGTTTTAATTTTGCAGAGCACTAGCATAGAAATATACACTTGTAAACAATGCAGTGGTCCCTCAAACTATACTAGAAACGTGGTATACAATATACTGAATTCTTCTGCTTCAGACGATAGTGCTCTTTTCTGTATGGACAAATATTGTCTAGTCCCCCCTCCAAAAAAAAGTACAAAATTCCTAAAATGAATGAACATTTATACTCTGTATTACAAGTCATTTCCTGCTTTCAGCTGGTGATTAACTTATTCCCAGAAGCACTAGAGGCCATGACAAATACAACAACAGTTTTATAATTCTTACAATGTATTCAAGAATTGCTAATCGTTCCCATAAATCATTCAAATTGATAATAGTGAATGTATATATACATATAAGATACACATATGTATTCATATGCGTGTGTGTGCGTGCACGCGCGTGTGTACAAGAGAAAAGAAGACAGGATTGCGTCGGCTATCTTGGGAGAAGGACAAAGGTGCAGTCAGAGGAATTTCATACCCAAATGATCAAGGTCCCGTTTCACAATAGATGACATTTTGTGTTATTCAGATTTCACTTTTGATCTCTTGACCGAAATCCTATGAGTAAGGCAGCATAGGAGTTATTCTCTTTCATTTAGAGATAAGCAAATGAAACACTAGATGGTGAAGAAAGCTGTCAAAGACATTTGGGAGGGTGAAGGGAAAAGGCCACTTTTATATGCTCTTTCTAGAGGGAAATTTGCCAACCCCTATCAAAACAGAGGCTAGAGAAATGGAGAGAAAGAAGAGAGCTCTTTTTTTAATTAATTAATTAATTTGAGAGAGAGAGCGCGCGCGCGTGCGTGCGCTTGTGAGTGGGGGGAGGGGCAGAGGGAGAGAACCTCCAAGCAGACTCCCCACTGAACATGGAGCCCGACACACATGACCCATGAGATCATGACCTGAGCTGAAATCAAGAGTTGGACACTTACCCAACTGAGCCACCCAGGTGCCCCAAGATAGCTCTTTGATCTAGCAATTCTATCCTCTGAGAATCTATCCTAGAGAAATTTTTACATATGAGAAAAAAAGTACATATAGAGGGTCATTGGTCGAGGAAAAATGGACACAACCTAAATATTTTTCGATAAAGGAATAGTTTTTTCCTGTTATCTATTGCTACCTAGCAGACCAAACCAAAAAAATCGTGCCCTAAAAAAACCCACCATTTTGTTATCTTTCATAATTGCGTGCATCAGAAATGTCTACAGGGCACATCAGAAAAGACCTATCTCTGCTCACCATGCCTGGAGCCATAGCTGGGGTGACTCGAATGGCTACTGGCTGGACCACTAGGGACTGGCTGCACGTCTCTGCATCCTCACATGTCTCTCCAAGGGCCCTCTCCAGCATGAAGAGTATTTAGACTTCTTACAGTGGCTTGAGGCTTGGAGAGACTGTTCCCAGAGGCTTCTGACCTCACCTCAGAAGTCACAGGTCACTTCTGCTGCACTCTGTGTCAGGATCGATGCGCAGGCCAGAGTCTAGAAGGCAAATGGACTCCGCTTCTCAGTGGAAGGAGTAGCAAAGGACGGGCAGGATTTTGAATCTACCACAGGGGTCCGAATTAACCATTAAAAGAACGAAACGTTTTATCAATTCTGCTTCTATGCAACCTATGGATTATCTAGAGGCATGAGGAAGCTTCTGAAAGTGATGGAAATATCCTGGTTTTACCAAACGTTATCTTGTTACCTATTGTTAAATGTTTCATCTCTGTTGTGGTCTCACAACTGTACACATATGTCAGAACGGGTCAGTTTAAACATGTGTTGTATACATATGCACGTGCAACATATTCATTCCACCTCGATAAAATTGGGGCAAGGCAGAATGAAGTAGATATGTAAGTCATGACATGGTGAGCTTCCCCGTCTGGAGCCTCACCCCACTTGAGAACCAGGTTGAAATAGACCCTCCCCTTTGCTGTTGGACTGCATCAGATCTCTCCAGGGTGTGGCACAGAAAAATGGTTGGCAAGCAGCTGAGGAATTTCTCCTTGGAATGTGCTCAGTGCATTTCTGGAAGATGCTCACAGGCAGAGATACAGCTGTGTCCAAGTCCTGGAGGCTTTGGA